TTGTTTTTTTTTTCTGATTTATTGTTTCACTTGGTACGTTATGAAGTACATCTCGAAAAATTTGATTCACATCTCATCGTTCGTTATATTACTTTCTAAGTTATATTTTTTTTTTGATTGTTTGAAATAAATAGAGAGTTAAAGGAAACAGGTGTATAATCAAGTTTTCTATTGACAACAAGATAAAAACAAATTAACTGTTTTGTCCACAGTAGTTTGCGAGACTAATCTTTGTTTTATTTTACAAGATCAATCTTCTTTGATTTGTGAAAAGAAAAACTGAAAAAAAAGAATAATTATTGATTTATTACACTAAAAGCTAGAAAGAAAAGATAATACAGTGAATATTGTGAACATTTTGTTTTAAAGAAAGATTGTTAAAGATTATACTTCAAAGTTGTTCTTATTTTAATCAATTCAAAAGAAGAAAGATTTGATCTATTTATTGATTTTAAGAAATTTAGATATACTCATAAATATAGATTAATATGAGAGAAATTGTTACTAGTGAAACTCCAAAGAAGATTAGTGGTATTCAATTCAGTGCACTTAGTGCAGCTGATATTGTTGCTCAATCTGAAGTTGAAATATCATCTCGTGATTTATTTGATTTAGAAAAAGGACGTGAACAAAAGAAAGGTGGTGCTTTAGATCCAAAAATGGGTGTTTCTTCATCAAGTTTAGAATGTTCAACATGTCATGGTAATTTAGCTTCTTGTCATGGTCATTTTGGTCATATTAAATTAGCTTTACCTGTTTTTCATGTAGGTTATTTTAAAGCAACAATTCAAATTTTACAAGGTATTTGTAAAAATTGTTCTTCTATTTTACTTTCTGATAAAGATAAAAGACAATTTTTAAATGAATTAAGACGTCCAGGTGTTGATAATTTAAGAAGAATGGCTATATTAAAAAAAGTATTAGATCAATGTAAAAAACAAAGAAGATGTTTACATTGTGGTTCATTAAATGGTGTTGTTAAGAAAGCCGCAGCAGGTTCAGGATCTGCTGCTTTAAAAATTATTCATGACACATTTAGATGGGTTGGTAAAAAATCAGCTCCAGAGAAAGATCAATGGATTGGTGATTGGGATGAAGTTTTGTCTCATCATCCAGAATTAGAACGTTTTATGAAACGTTGTTCAGATGATTTGAATCCGTTAAAGACTTTAACCTTATTTAAACAAGTAAAATCTGAAGACTGTGAATTATTAGGTATTGATGCAACAGTTAAATCTGGTAGACCAGAAACTTATATTTGGAGATATTTACCAGCACCACCCGTTTGTATTAGACCATCTGTTATGATGCAAGATTCACCAGGTTCTAATGAAGATGATTTAACTGTCAAATTAACAGAAATTGTTTGGACATCTTCTTTAATTAAAGCAGGTTTAGAAAAAGGTATTTCAATTAATAATATGATGGAACATTGGGATTATTTACAATTAACTGTTGCTATGTACATTAATTCAGATTCTGTTAATCCAGCAATGATGCCGGGGGCTTCAAGTGGTGGTAGTAAAGTTAAACCAATTAGAGGGTTTTGTCAACGTTTAAAAGGTAAACAAGGTAGATTTAGAGGTAATTTATCTGGTAAACGTGTAGATTTTTCAGGTAGAACAGTTATTTCCCCAGATCCAAATTTATCAATTGATGAAGTTGCTGTTCCAGATAGAGTAGCAAAAGTATTAACATTCCCAGAAAAAGTGACCATGTATAATAAGAGAAGATTACAACAATTAATATTAAATGGTCCAAATGTTCATCCAGGTGCTAATTATTTATTGAAAAAAGATGAAGAAGCAAGAAGAAATCTACGTTACGGTGATCGTTTAAAATTAGCCAAAAATTTAAGATATGGTGATATTGTTGAAAGACATTTGGAAGATGGTGATGTGGTCCTATTCAATAGACAACCTTCATTACATAGACTGTCTATCTTGTCACATTATGCAAAGATTCGTCCTTGGAGAACTTTTAGATTGAATGAATGTGTATGTACTCCATATAATGCAGATTTTGATGGTGATGAAATGAATTTACACGTTCCGCAAACTGAAGAAGCAAGAGCAGAAGCTATTAATTTGATGGGTGTTAAAAACAATTTATTGACTCCAAAGTCTGGTGAACCTATCATCGCAGCTACACAAGATTTCATTACTGGGTCATATTTGATTTCTCATAAGGATTCATTTTTCAATAGAGCTTCTTTGACTCAGTTATTGTCTATGATGTCTGATGGTAATATGCAATTCGATATTCCACCACCAGCTATTATGAAACCACATTATTTATGGACTGGTAAACAAGTCTTTTCGTTACTGATTAGACCGAGTCATAAATCACCTGTTGTTATTAATCTTGACGCTAAAAATAAAGTCTTTATCCCTCCAAAACACCAAGATTTACCAAATGAAATGTCTCAAAATGATGGATTTGTCATTATTAGAGGTTCCAATATTTTAAGTGGTGTAATGGATAAATCTGTTTTAGGTGATGGTAAGAAGCATTCTGTTTTCTATACAATTCTTCGTGACTATGGTCCACAAGAGGCTGCCGAAGCAATGAATAGAATGTCGAAATTATGTGCAAGATATTTAGGGAATAGAGGTTTCTCTATTGGTATTAACGATGTTACACCAGCCGATGATTTGAAACAGAAAAAAGAGGAATTGGTTGAGATTGCATATGCAAAGTGTGATGAATTAATTGATTTGTATAATAAAGGGAAATTAGAAACCCAACCAGGTTGTAATGAAGAACAAACATTAGAAGCTAAGATTGGTGGTCTATTATCAAAAGTTAGAGAAGAAGTTGGTGATGTCTGTATTAACGAATTAGATAACCTAAATGCCCCACTTATTATGGCAACATGTGGTTCTAAGGGTTCTACACTTAATGTGTCTCAAATGGTTGCTGTTGTCGGTCAACAAATTATATCTGGTAATCGTGTTCCTGATGGTTTCCAAGATCGTTCTTTACCTCATTTTCAAAAGAATTCTAAAACTCCACAATCCAAGGGTTTCGTTAGAAACTCGTTTTATTCTGGTTTATCCCCTCCAGAATTTTTATTCCATGCCATCTCAGGTCGTGAAGGTTTGGTTGATACTGCTGTTAAAACTGCTGAAACTGGTTACATGTCTCGTAGATTGATGAAATCCTTAGAAGATTTATCGTGTCAATATGATAACACCGTTAGAACATCATCAAATGGTATTGTTCAATTTACATATGGTGGTGATGGTTTAGATCCATTGGAAATGGAAGGTAATGCAAAACCTGTTAATTTCGTTAGATCATGGGATCATGCTCTAAATATCTCATTTAATGAAGAAGAAGTTGGTTTATTACCATACCAGATTAGACAGGTTACTGATAGTGTATTACGTCCTCTTGAAAGTAGATTGATTAGATATGATAATATCGGTAAATTAGTTTCCAAGGAGAAAGAAGATGACGATGCTTTTGTGGATCAAAATGATGCCGAGAGAAATTTCTATACATCAATTAGAGATTTTATGGAAGAAAAATCTATCTCACTTGCTAGGGTAAGAAAAACAAGAGGTATGTTAGAAATGTTGGCTGCGCCTGCTATTGAGATGCAGAATATGGATCCAGATGAAACTGTTCCTTCAACAATTAAAGATTCCGTTGATCAATTATTCAAAATTACAGAGTCATCCGTTAAGGCATTCTTAGATATTGCATTATTAAAATACCGTAAAGCAAGAGTTGAACCTGGTACCGCTGTTGGTGCTATTGGTGCTCAATCTATTGGTGAACCTGGTACTCAAATGACATTGAAAACTTTCCATTTTGCTGGTGTTGCTTCTATGAATGTTACCTTAGGTGTTCCTCGTATTAAGGAAATTATCAATGCATCAAAAGTCATTTCTACTCCAATCATTAATGCAGTTTTGGTCAATAAAGATGATGAAAGAGCCGCAAGAGTGGTTAAAGGGAGAGTTGAAAAAACATTGCTGTCTGATATTGCTTTTTACATCGAAGATGTTTACATCAATAATCAGGCATATCTTCAAATTCGTATTGATATGGGCACTATTGAAAAACTACAACTGGAACTTACATTAGAAGATATTGTTGTCGCTGTTGCTCGTGCCCCAAAACTAAAAATTCAGCATTCAAGTATTGAAGTACAATTTCCTGATAAGGTTCGTGTTAAAGTGGATTCTGAAAGCGGGAAACCAAAAACAACCTCAACATCACTTAAGGAGCCATTGGAAAATGCCTTGTTTTACAGAATGCAACAACTTCGCCGTGCTTTGCCTGAGATTGTTGTTAAAGGTTTGCCTGAGATTGCTAGAGCTGTTATTAATATCCGTGATGATGGTAAAAGAGAATTACTTGTTGAAGGTTATGGTCTACGTGATGTAATGTGCACTGATGGTGTCATCGGTTCTAAGACTACTACAAATCATGTCTTGGAAGTCAACAGTGTTCTAGGTATTGAGGCTGCTAGATCAAGTATTATTGGAGAAATTGATTATACTATGAGTAATCACGGTATGAGTGTTGATCCTCGTCATATTCAATTACTGGGTGATGTTATGACATACAAGGGTGAGGTACTAGGTATTACAAGATTTGGTTTAAGTAAAATGAGGGACTCTGTTCTTCAGCTAGCGTCCTTTGAAAAGACAACGGACCATTTGTTTGATGCTGCATTCTATATGAAACGTGATGCAGTAGAGGGTGTTTCCGAATGTATCATTTTAGGTCAAACAATGTCTATTGGTACGGGTTCTTTCAAAGTCATTAAGAGTACAGATGTTTCAAAACAAGATCTTATTCCAAAACCAACTCTTTTCGAGTCATTATCTAATGGAACCGTCCTTAAGGTTCACTAAATTTCTGCATATAATATGTTAGTAGTGTCATAAAGCAAAAAACTACCTAATATTTATAAAACTATTTAAAAAAATAAATCTAAAAATAAAATTCAATTTTACATAAATTAACACAAAGCTGGTAAATAGATAACTGCTGATGGAATCAAAAAAGAAACAGAACGACAACATTCTATGCCCCTCTCACGGAAAAACTTGATATTTTCCCAGTTATTAAATTAAATACAAGAATATAGTCAATTCAAGGAGGTATGACTATTTAATTTAAAGGAAGGTGTTGCGGTAAGTTTACTATTTGCAATTCGATTCTATAATGCATAGATAACTAATTGAACGTGGTATATTAAAGATGGTTATAACGTGATAGATCTAGTGTGTTATATTATACTACTTGATAATGTCACAGAGTTATCGTGCTTACCTTAACGTTGATGATATTATGTCCTGTAATTAAGCTCCCCATCTCTTAGTCTCTTCTTATTGAATCTCTGAAATACATTTAATTAATCGAAAAAATTTTAACTTCTCATCTATACCACATATATGGAATGTCGATGTCGATGGGCATCTACAAATATCATATTGTGAGTCGGTGATATTTTTCTCTTCGCCTACAACAACTGAAATGGGATTATCATTCACCAGGTAGAGTCTTTAGAATCTCCACGTGACGTCTCCAAAAAGGCTAAATAATTTAACCAGCCAAAAAATTAGCCCTGTAGGGGGCTCGAACCCCTAACCTTGTGATTAAGAGTCACACGCGCTACCGATTGCGCCAACAAGGCTCTTTTTCTTTATAATGTTTATTTAGAAATAATTAAAAGCAAATGACATTTAATCACGTGACAACAAGTTGAGGTCTCGCCTAATATCTTAATTGGAAATGAAACATGTTACAATATGAAACAAAGCCGTACACCATGAAACAAGTTACAAGAGATCATGCATATTTATAAGTGTTAACAAGTTTAACTATATTGAGTATATAAACATATATAAAGAGAACTAATCTCAGAATTATCTGAATCATTAGTTTCTCTTCTGTACAATTTAGACAGAAGAGGACGAAGAATCTAATATAGATTAAGATACGTATTTATATATGAGCTGAAGCAGACATATCGATGTTAGATTCGGATTGGTTTTGCATATTAAATAAGTGGTGATGGGTAATGAAGATTATTACGGTGGCAGTAGGTTGTAAAGCAAACGTATCTGTTACTTTTCTTCTAAATTTGTAAGTGATTTTCTATTTTTTATTTAATATTGTCAGAAACTAAGGGTAACTTACTGTGACACTTAGTCCAAAAATATTGTAAAGAAATAATTAGCAATATTGTAAAGAGACCAGCAAAAATATTTAAACCAGCACAAAACATAAAAAATAAAAACAAACCAGCAATATATGCAGGTGAGTTGTTTAAGAAAAACTAATGGTATATATAAAGCCATTATTGTAAAATAAGAAATATTTATGATTAAGTAATTTGAAGATTATATAATTTAAAATAACGGATCAATTATCATATCAAAAAATGTCCGAATTACATTTAACTAACAAACAAGAAATTAAGGAATCAACTGAGAGTAAAAACTCTAACTCAGATTCTCTACAAATATACATAACGAATGAATCCTAACTCAGATTGTAAGTTCAGAATGACTCGTATTTATATAGTTTTAATTTCTCTTGATTACCTTCTCATCTATTAGGTAATCTTCCTTACGTAATGGTTCATTAGTAATACGCATCTATTTTTGTATTAGTAATGTGATTACGTAACATCTTGTTATGTAATATTCTATNATGTTGACGCAGTTTAGAGATCTCAAATTGTCGAGGTATCTCTAAATTGGAAGTGTTAGTGAGAGACATATTATACGTATACAATTATATAATATTTTGTGCATTTCTTTTCTATTGTACATAGAAATATATAAATTAACATTTGGATAAAAGTCCCATTAATATACTTACCGTCTGACAGTTGAAGATTAGTCTCATTTTGTAAACATATCTTACATTTTTGTTTCATGACACAACCGCACACTGTTTCATAGTGTAACGTGGTCTGTTTCATAATGTAACATGTTTCAAAATGTAACAAACATAAGTGGTAATGCAACTGCTTATCAATGGTAAAAATATCGAGTGATATTGTCACCTGTTTTATTTCACACTCACTCATAGCACATTATTTGTTGCTTGTATTTCAATTTATCTAATACGAAATAATTTTAACATTAAATATTTCATCCAAAATATAAATTTGACACTACATTAATGATTATACAAAATAATATTCATAATAATTATCTATACGATAATCTCTGATTCTAAAGAACTGTACGATTTAAAAAACTCTTGGAATAATTTGATTTGATATCCAAGATCTGCGGCACCTCCAGTTTCCCTGATAGAATGCATACTTAAAATAGGATTACCCAAATCTAAAGTTCTTATACCAGTTTTGGATGCTAAAATTGGCCCAATAGTTGAACCACAAGGGGAGTCATTTGCGGCTACAAATAATTGTAATGGAACTTTGGCAGTATCGGCCATTTTCTTTATCAACACAATACCCGGGGAATTGGTCATATAACGCTGGTTTGCGTTGATCTTCAAAACTGGGCCCGAACCAATAATTGGTTTATGTTTCGACTCATGTTTCGTAGCATAATTAGGGTGAACAGCATGAGCAACATCGGATGATAAAAAGAATGACTTTGCTGAACTTTCCAAAATCAATGACTTGGTTAAAGGGGATTCAATGTCTGTATTGTCAGCTTTCAGGGAACATAATCTTTCCATGATGTTAGGCAAAAAATTAGAGTCCGCACCTTGAGCTGACGAAGAACCAATTTCTTCATGATCAAAACTGCCAAATAGTCTAATACCTTTCTCCTTTTCAATATCTAAATCTGCAGCTTCTGTTAGTGCATGCATACCTGTGAAACAAGAGGTTAGGTTATCTAGTCTGCCCGAGAAAATAAACTCTTCCTTCAATCCACCTAAACAGGATTCCTTATTATCATAAAGAATCAATTCGAAGTCTTCGATTTGTTCAACAGATGTTAGTTCCAGTTCTTTTTGAATTAAGTCCAATAATTCTTTATTGTGTCTTTCCACAATCGATTTGATTGAATTAAAAGCATCGTCACTTGATTCATTTACTTCTTTCTTGTCTGAAACTTCGGAATCACATGCGAGGCCAGCCAATGGCAACAAGTTAGTTTCCTTGTTGAAAACAAATTTTTCGTTTACAGATCTATCCAGATGAATTGCTAAAGTTGGGATTTTAAGGAGAGGCTTGTTCAAATCAATAAGTTTTGCAACAACTTTACCAGTTTTGGTGTCATTGACCATAACCCTACCTGCAATTGATAAATCAGAATCAAACCATGAGTGCCATACACCACCACCATAGCATTCTACACCAATCTGAGTATATTTTTCTGAAACTCTCTTGGAGATTGGCTTAATTCTTAATACTGGAGAATCGGTATGCGCTCCCACAATAGCTAATGGATTACCTGGTTGCCACATATTTCCAACAACGAATGCAATAATAGATGAATTGTTTCTAGTGACATAATACTTACCTTTATGTTTAACCTTTCCGTTCCATTGATCACGTTCTGATAATTCTTCGAACCCGTTACTAATCAAATGTTTTTTAATTGAATGAACAGCATGATAAGGGGAATGGGATGCATTTAGAAAGTTAACAAATTCTGATTGATATATTGGTTTTGACACAGATGACATCTTTCGTATATGTAGCCGGAGCATGTATATATTCAAGGATCGCCTTACTTATTCTATGTTCTGGCAATTTTTAGTCTTCAACGTTTGGTGAATATGCAGTCTTTAGCTAATGGCGTGAGATCCTTAAAATAATAGTTGCCTATAATTTTCTTAACATGCGAGGATACCATTGCTCGTAACAAACGATCTCAAAAGAAGAACTGTAGTAACTATCATAAGGTTAAACAGCCTAAATTGACTAGTACCTTTACGTATTATAAGCAATCGTTGGTTCTGAGAAACTTGGTTATTGTAGGAGTCACCAATAACAATTATGGAGTAGGAATTTCTTTTCTTTACTATATTGAATGGACTATTAATTAGTAATAGGAGGTTATATAATTATTTAACTATGCATATAAATACGTTGGATAATTTGTAATGTATATTCCCTGTCGTTTACACAACTTTTTGTTTAACAAAGAAGTTCTTTAAATAATTTAATTGAAATGCACAGGTACAGCCTAGGGCAATGACTTGTAAAACAGACCACAACATAATCTTACTGTTGGCAGATTCACTTTGATTTCTGAACTTTGCCTCATTTTCTCTAATATTACCTTGAATATCCTTGATTACATCAAGTCTTTGTGTCAATTGTTGGACTCTTGACTTCAGGGAATTGACATCATCTTTTCTCTTACTGTCTAGCGAGTGGACATGGCCGATTTCAAAATCAACAAATACTCTGATATTAGCAGAAGCATCACTGTATGATGGAGTTAAACATATTCTGTGTTCACCAGATTCTAGGGCAGTGAAAGAAAAGTCACCACTATTGGAGTTCTTTTGATTCAAAACACGTTCATTGTTGTCAAAAGTTTCATCGATAGTAACCTTGACCCTGATACCTGAGTCTTCTACAAACACACCATTTTTCTCAACAAATGCATCAAGGTCACCAATTAACAAACTTTTAGCGGTTAAATGTTCATAATAACATTTAGTTTCTTCTGGTTTTAAGTATATGTGCATCGCTTGGATAGGGCAAATCAATGCCATCACAGCAAAAACCAGTGTCAATGTTTGGAATTTCATCTTTTAACTTTGGGTATTTGAGTTTACAGGCTTTGAAATGAGAATGGTTAGAAACGATATTAATTTAAATCTAAAGATTTATTTAAGGAAAAGACTAATCATTGTTTTTTGTTGTTATTTTTTCATGAAAACTTACAGGCATATTGTGTCTCAATCATTGCGTTGGAAAGTTTAATTGTTCTGAAAATTACTAGCGCGAGACAGTTAAAGACGCGTAATTATTAACAACGTGTAAATAATTATCAAGTTCACTATGTATGAGCCATTCTTAACTGCAATTGTCAATTAATGGACAAGATGGTTGTTGAATTACGAAAGGGCAACTATTTTAAATGGTCAAGTAATATTTACATAGTTTATATAGATTATGAAGCTCAGGTTGGTAAAGACTACAAGAAGTAATGAGAAAATTCCTCTTGTTCTTGCGTCACAAAATCGGTGTAGTCAAGCTCGTTATAATCGTGTAAGGAGAGTTCTTGGCATTCATCAATAATGTTAATCTCATTGTCGTCGTTAACTTTAACTATACCTTCTTCTTCTTCTTCTTCTTCTTCATAAAGATTAATTAATGGTGGTAATGGGACCACTTCCAATTCTTGTTGTATCGGAGTTGTGATACTCAATAAAGATGTTAGGTCCGTTGATATCACTTGATTGAGTATTTGAATTTCAATATTGCACAAATCTATAAATGATTGGCATTCATTTTTGTTATCGTCGAGAATCACTTTTTCAGAATTATTGTTTACTATATCTTCCAATTTTTTTAGTCTCTCGCCTATATAATTTTGTAAAAATATCTCAAAGACTTTACATGTACTCTCCTGATCTTCAGTGGACAAGCTTCTAAAGTTTTCTAATGCCTTTTGTTTGTTAACTCTTCTTTTCATTAATTTTCCATTCCTATCTTTAAATCTGAGAGTCCATGCAAACTGTGGTAGTCCAATTACGTCATTTTTGGATTGTTCCCTTCTTGTTATTTCGTTTTTACATATTTTATTAAGGTCAGCTACATTTCTATCTTTATCCATTACCGAATAAAAATTTGCAAAACTTCTGTAAGCATTATTATTGTATGACCAAATTTCTTCATCCTTTAGGGAAGAGTCAGTCATAAAAGGCAGTAACAGTTCTTCATATTCTTCCAAAGTTGTATTTATGAACCATGAATCCTTTTCTTTATCTTTGCAGAATTGCATCACTGGATTAACACTGAACCATTTATAAAACTTCCTGTATTGTTTTGGAATGCAATTCCTTTCAATTGATAAATTAAAATAGCAAGGGGTACTCTTCTTAACTTCTGGAATAAACCCATAAGTAAAATTAAAAGAAGTGTATTCAACGATATCAGAATATTGAATAAATAATTCCATTCTTGTCTTGCTAGTTTGTTCTTCAAATGAATCTCGAAGTTTCAATGTTACCTCACCTGTACTTCTATCGATATCAAACGCACAACAAGGAGAAACTGAAGAATGATTAACAAAATCTAAAATTGGTACTAAAGTAGTATTTGTAGTAAAGTCTTCTGAATCTTTGGAGATTTCATGTGGAATTTCTAGAACTCTAGATGTGATGGCGGCGTATATTTGTCGTATAACATCCTTACCTGTGGTTGAATCAATATCTAACTCAAATTCAAAAAAACTCGTAAACATATCAACAACCATCGTATTTGCTATAATATTGGGATAGTGGCTATAAGATTGAAGATAGAATTTAGGTCTAGTAATAGGGTTATTCACCTCTGTTGATATGAGAATATCATGTAAATATTTGACACAAAGCTCAGGAACGTTGTAATCTTCCTGCAAATAATAAAATAGTATAAAGTAAAACGTCAGTAATATTGTTTCTGAAAAAATGTCACTCATATTAGAATTTTCTAAGAATGATTTGAAAACTTCTTTTATTTTTTTACTTGAACGATCGTAAACATCATTATTTGGGTATAGCGTTTTATCATTGATTGTAGCTAATATTGAGTGTATATTAAACGTATACTCTTTAGGAATTTTTAATAAGGGCTGAGAAATTGTTGGTATGGTTTCCTTATTGTCCTCTTTATTATCTTTAATCAGGGTTTTATCCATATACAGTCCATATCCACTATTTGGATCGTCGATCTCTGATTTTGCGAGATAAACGCCTTCCTGTACCTGCACTCTAAAGGTTGATACATACCAATCAAAAAATTCATTCATGGTTTAATTTATCTTATTATAATTAGTGGTATACTCCAATATCTATTAGACATCACCCGCTTTGAACTGTTGAATGTTTCACAATAGTTATTAATATGTGTCTCATCATGCTTAATTTCTACCCCTACAAAAAAAATAAGGGTTAAATGCGCTCTTTTACTTGCTACATAGAAGAATCTCGATGACAGTCAACAAATATGTCATGTACTAGATTTTTTTTTGATATTATAATTTTTAATTCTATAGACATCTATATGATTTATATATAAGTAGTTTGAATACCATTGTGCATATCCTGGAATATGCAATGATAAATGCATGGTAATTTAATGTTTAAATTGTTTCTTTGTTCTTCAAGGTCAAGATTCCTTAAATTTTAGGTAATGTGAATACAGCAGTTTCCTCGATAGGAGTAGAGCCACTGACTTTATAATTGAGCTTCCATTTAATTTTTAATGGTTTACCAGAATTCATTGAAATGTTATCAAGTATAGCAACTTGTGATACTCCATCTCTTCTATTAGCAGGTATGTAATCTGCGGATTGTGTTTCCAATTTTAACGATACAGATTTTGGAGCTGCTAAGGATAATGTAACATTGGAAACATCCAAGGGAGTAATGTTACTCATAATTAGATTTAATCTAAGAGTATCCAGGGATAATTTTGTCTGAATCATATCAATTTTGACATTATTAGACTGGTTGACTAAGACCCTTTGATCGGTACTATCTGTAATTATTTCCTGGTTTTTTGGTACTTGGAAGTTTGGTGAATTGCTGATACTGCTGCTGCTACTACTGTGGTTTAGGGATAATAAATCGTCAGATGCTTCTGGGATAATTCCGTTTATATTATTATTTGTAACAACTGGAGTAGCAACAGTAGCTGTGCCCAAATGAATATCACCATTCATACCAAAATTTTGATGGGTTGAAACTGTATTTGAAAGATTCAAATTATCGAAATCGCCTAACAAATCGACTAAATTATTGTCAGAGATATTTTCTTTCGTATTTTGGTTAGAAATATCAGAAAATGGATCATTAGATGCTTTTGTAATTCCATTAGGTATAGGGGAAGATGATTGAGAAGGTTCATCATCAAAATCAATAAGATTGATCTCATGAGCAACCGCCCCTTCAGCATTGTTATAATTAGTATCGATTGAAGATTTTACATTTTTTGATGTCGAAAACGATTCTATATGATTATTGGTTATTTCAATATTTGTTTTTCCATCCTTCATCAAGAGATATTTGTTTAACAATTCATCAACATAATTATTAAAAGCCATTACATTTTGAATTAATTTTTCATCTTCTTCTTCTTCTTCAATAATTTTTGCAAATTTTGGTTGAGCCATTTTCAAAATTGAATAAAGCTCTTCAAAAACTTGATTTAACTCATCATCATTATTATTTATTTGTGGTTTTTTAATTAATAATTCATGAAATAAATCAGCTTTAACTTTCAATTTATTTAATTCATGGTTCATTGATTTTTTAGCTTCAATAATATTATCTTGTTTAAAACCTGCCATTACTTTCATTAATTTATTTGCTTCCAATAAATCTTGTGGAGAACCACGTCTAATTAGTTCTTCTAATTTAGCAGCTTGTTTAATATCTTGTTCTCTTTGAATTTCTTTTGTAGTTTTTAATTGTCTCTTCGGTTTCAATACAGCTAGATCCTTTGAATCAATCTTTGGGAAATTATAACCTTTAAATTTTAATAATCTATGCATATCTCTAATATAACCCATATCTTTCTTATTCTCACCATGTTTTGCAATAGTTTGATACCATTCTTCAATTGCTGTTAATATTAATTTTTGTATATCAGAATAATAAACAGGTGGATGTTCAGGGAATCTTTTCACTAATTCATTTAAGAATTCTTTTCTTGAAATTTGTAAATGAACTGGATATCCACAATTTTTCACAAGGATATCTAATAAAGCAAATGCAAAAATTGCGGTATGTAAATCTCTACAATTAATTAATTTAACTAATGTAATGCATGCTTCTCTAGGATATGCACCTTGTCTTTCATTAATCAAATCAGCAATTTCTAAATTTAATGCTAAATCTGGCGAATGTAATGTCTTTCTACAAGCTCTTTGAATTTTTACAAGCAGTGGATTGGATATTCCAACTGTTCTTCTATTGCCATGGTGATTATCGTAATGAGATGGGTACGGCATTATACTTCATGAAATTTCAAAGAAGCACTATATTTTTTTTTGTTGTTTTCCACCATGCAACACGCCAATGGACGAATTATTTTTCCAGCACAATAAACCCAGTTATCACACCTTCCTCTTCCATATAACTAACACAATATCGAGTCAGATATCAATGTGTCACAACCTTGTATATATTTATGGATCATGACAAGAATAGAAAGAAATGAGATGCCTTTGTTTGAGATCTGGCAAAGTGACGTTGATTGTTGCGTCTCACCGCTCGTTTTTAACTCGTCGCGCTTTCACGGCTTTTCTCTCTGTGAACACTGGAAATTGTTCACAGCAATTAATGGAACCTCTCTGTTTTATATAGAGATATGTGTATATGTGAAGGTGTTGCTGGCGGTGACAAAGTCCATTCGGAAACCTAGCAAACCTTTGAGTGTCGTAACTGAATGTAACTACTATAGATGAGCACACCCACCCTTGTTCATTTACTCTCTTCTTGAGTGTGCTTTCTCTTGTTTGTGGGTATATAAGTGAATGTATTTATAGCTGTCCGTACACAGTGATCACGCTTTCTTCAACCGCGACATTCGAATGGAAAGAAAAAAAAGCGCAGCAAGAAAATAAATTGTTCATAATAATAAAATAATGTTCGTGAATTGATTTGATTCCCAATAAAGGACAATTTTGGAACTTGAAAGAGGGAACTAGAGCTTAGGTTTTGTTTTGTTTTTCAGTTTTCAATTTAATATACATTTTCTATCAGGGTACTCGGTGTGATATAATTCGTTCATTCTCTAGTTGCTGGAAATTGTTAGCTATTTGATACTATTTCTTCCACAAGGTACATTCGTTATATTTGTTTGTTTACAATATTTCAAGTGAACATCGTTAAATCATTTTAATAAGAGATAAATAAAAATTAAACATAAAAAAAGTGGTGAATATAACGCATACACATTTGCTGGAAATTTTTTACTTTACTAAGAGTTTAAACTAGTATTACAATTAAAATACTTGTGTTTGATCTGTTTTGTTATTCTTTTAAAACCAATAATTTCGTGTTTTGTTTATTAAATTATTGTTTGATTCTAATATCGTATACAATCAATTACTAAAAAATAAAAATAAAAAAAATGACTACTCAATCAGTTGGTGTTGCTAATCTACCGAATCAACGTTATAAGATCGTTAGTGAAAAAGGTGGAACTTTCACTATTATGGTTTGTGGTGAAAGTGGCTTAGGTAAGACAACATTTATTAATACTTTATTTCAAACCACTTTAAAACATGCCGATCCACAACAACGTCGTCATTTACCTTTAAAGAAAACTGTAGATATTGATTTAACTCGTGCTGTATTAGAAGAAAAAAACTTTAAAATGCGTGTTAATGTAATTGATACACCAGGTTTTGGTGATAATGTTAATAATAATAAAGCTTGGCAAACTTTAGTTGATTTTATTGATGACCAACATGATTCTTATATGCGTCAAGAACAACAACCTCATCGTGATGTTAAATTTGATTTAAGAGTTCATGTTGTATTATATTTTATTAAACCAACAGGCCATGGTTTAAAACCGTTAGATATTGAAACCATGAAAAAAATTTCATCAAGAGCAAATTTAATACCAGTAATTGCTAAATCTGATACTTTAACTTTACAAGAATTACAAGTCTTTAAAAGTAGAATTAGACAAGTAATTGAAGCTCAAGAAATTCATATCTTTACGCCACCTTTAAATTTCGATACTACTACTAATATTAATAATAATACTGAATCTGTATCAGCTGGTAATTCCGCTACAAATCAAGATGCTACTGCTGCAGAACATGCAAGACAATTGATAGAAGCAATGCCATTTGCTATAATTGGTTCTACCACCAAATATGATAATGGCCAAGGCACACAAGTTGTTGCAAGAAAATATCCTTGGGGTCTTGTTGAAGTTGAAAACGATAATCACTGTGATTTCCGTAAATTGAGAAGTATGTTACTAAGGACGTATCTATTAGATTTAATAACTAGTACACAAGATCTTCATTATGAAACATATAGAAGATTAAGACTTGAAGGAACTAATGGTCCAGATAATGAAGATAATTCAAATGGTAATGGTGATTCATCGATGCCATTAAAAGCACCAGCAAGAAAATTATCACATAATCCAAAATATAAAGAGGAAGAAAATGCTTTAAAGAAATATTTCACAGATCAAGTTAAAGCAGAAGAGCAAAGATTTAGACAATGGGAACAAAATATTGTTAATGAAAGAATTAGATTAAATGGTGATTTAGAAGAGATTCAAACTAAAGTTAAGAAATTGGAGGAACAAGTTAGATCATTACAATTGAAAAAACGTTAAACAACCTATAAAGAGTAATATATCCTTTCTCTATCCTTCTCGTTTGTATATGTATGCGTTTTTTCTAAGAAAATTAAAAAAACCCTTTATTCAAATTCTTTTTGCTTCAGAGCAACCCAATTATAATATAAATATGACAATCTAAAGACAAATTTTAAAAAAAATTAATAACAAAGAAAAAAATTATATATATGTATATGTATTTTTGATTATTTTAATTTAAAATCACATAACAGAAGATATCTTTCCGTAAGTAAAATTATACATGTATTAGAGTAAGTTTAAGCGCTATTTACTTGTTGTTTATTTCATGAATGTTAAAATATATATCTTTATATCTATACTTCTATATAAAAAGTTATCAAATGGGGAAGAAGAAAAAAAAATGTATCCTTAATAATTCTTTTGATCCGAACATTTGATTCTTGAAAATATTATATTTTTATATTAATTATTCGTAAAGTTCAGAAAGGTATTTTTCAGCATCTAAAGCAGCCATACAACCAGAACCAGCAGAAGTGATGGCTTGTCTGTATCTAGAGTCTTGAACATCACCGGCAGCGAAAACACCTGGAACAGATGTTAAAGAAGTACCTGGAACAGTCTTAATATAGCCAGTTTCATCCATATCAATTTGACCTTTAACAATTTCTGTAGCAGGTTTATGACCAATAGCATAAAATAGACCATTTATTGGTAAATCATATTGTCTATTTTCTTTAACATTGTTAACTAATAAAGCATTTAAAAATTTACCATCACCTTTAGCTTCTAATGGAACAGTATTAAATAAAATTTCAATTTTATCATTTTTTTCAACACGTCTTTGCATAATAGTGGAAGCTCTTAAATAATCTTTTCTAACGATTAAATAAACTTTTGAACCATATTTAGTTAAAAAGGAAGCTTCTTCACAGGCTGAATCACCACCACCAATAACGGCAAGTGGTTTGTTTCTAAAGATTGGAACTGCACCATCACAAACTGCACAAGCAGAAATACCTTGTTGCCAATAAGTTTCTTCACCTGGTAAATGTAATCTTTTAGCTGAAGCACCTGTTGAAATAATCAATGAATCAGTAGTAATTGGTTCTTCATCTTCATTAAACTCTGTCCATAATTTAAATGGTCTTGATGATAAATCAACTTTTGAAATAGTTTCAGTAATAACATTATTACCAAATTTAATTGATTGTTCTTTCATTTTATCCATTAATTCACCACCCATTAAACCATTTGGAAAACCTGGAAAATTTTCAATTTCTGTAGTTGTTGTTAATTGACCACCTGGTGCAATACCATTGGCCATCATACCTTCATACATGGTTGGAGGAATTTCTGCACGACCTAAATAAATGGCAGCAGTATGAGCAGCTGGACCTGAACCAATAATAGTAACTTTATTATGAACCATTGCTTTTGATATAATTAGATGTTTGAATTTAATAGAGGAATTAAATAAATTTTTTTGTTTAAGTTTACTTTGTAGTTGTAATCTTGTTAATGTCTTATTTAGGATCATTAAATAAGAAAAACACAATTATGAAAAAATTAAGAACACGATCCAAGAGTAATAAAACAGAAGAGACCTTTCTATTTATATTATTTAAAAAAAAATAAAAATACGATGAACGTGGTTTTCAATTAGTAAATGCATGTACCTTAAAAAAAAAAAATAAAGTGAAATAAAATAAGCTCACAGTTTTGTCAACTAATCGCTTAGTCAGGTAAGACGTTAATTAAACCAAAAGGTCCAGCGACGAGGGAATACTAAAGAAAAAAAGCAAAGAATATTAAAAAGTAATTAGAGACCACCACCCTTCGAGAGAGAGTAACTATTACGAGAAAACTAAAACATATTCTCTCTCGCTCTCGCTCTCTCTCTCTCTCTCTGTCTATCCAGCCGTTTCAATCAATACTTTACTAACTGTGGAACCTGGAAAAAGTTCTCAAATGCTACACACACAGAATCCACCACGTAAATAATGTCATCATCAACCACTACTGCGTACAATACGGTTTTCCCTCTATCTCTCTGGGTAATAAAAGCAATATAACGTTCCCCCCCCAGCAAAGTGCGAGGAGAGAGAAAAGAAAAAAGAAAAACCCTCTTTCCTACGCAGCTCTCTTACCAACAAAAAATCTGGAACTTTCACATCTTTCTTATTCAGCAAAAAAAGAACGAAAGAGAGCGAATTATTATTATTACGTCTTTCTCTCACTAAAAAAACTGTTCAATGCGGCGAAGAGAATGCGGGCATTTTTATTCCATAATTAATAATAAATAATCTTGCTGGGCGAGACTTCTTCGCTTTCTTTGGTGGCACACTAAAAAACAGCTTCATCGTGCTGCACGAACTGGGGAGGGTAAAAAAGGGTCCCTTATAAAAAAAATACTAGATGAGATAACTATCGAATAAGTTAAGACACACCTCTTTTATGATGAATGGTGTAGGAGGACAATATATTATGTAAGCTCACATTGATGAGTAGTATTCACTTTCTTTTACATTGTTAACACCTTCGAATTTTGGTGAGGAACCTTATTTTTTGTATCTTACTTTAGTTTAGTTTAAGTTGATTCAGGTGCTGGATCTTCTAAGAAGCGTAATATCTCTGATCGGCATATTTGAACAATATTTTGGTTTAGCATTATACCATTTAAGAAATTTTCTAACCCTATTCTTCTCTCTATTAACCATTTCTTATTATAATTAGCCTTTTGATATTGCCATATTTCATACCAAGGAATCTTCGGCGGCAGTTTCGGAATTTTTGATAATAATAATATATTTTCTGGAGTTTCACCATTATTCATTATCTTACTCACAATTTTATTTCGAAATATAACAAAATCTGAATATCTCTTAAATGTTTGAACTTGTGGACATGCAACTTGTGCATTTTTAGTTCTCTCAATTAACATTTCACTTGGTTGTAAAACTATAGTAATTTTCCACATTGCAAATCTTGAATTATTATCACCTTTAAGAATAGTGCAATCTGTAACATTGATTTTTGAAAAATTGAAATTATCATTCACAGAACTATTAGCCCTATGCTTTCTTCTTGGTATTCCTGAGAGAGATGATATTTGCAATTCATTATTTTCTTCATTTTGTAATAATGTTATTGGCTCAGGAGCTAAAATTTTAATCTTATTTTGTATTGACATATATGATAAAGCAATTATAGTTACTATTATTATCCTATTAATCTCGTAATTTAAGTTTGACACTGTTCGGATTAATCACTCAGTTGTGATATCGATCTCTACCTTTTTGCTGTCTGGTTAGTTTTTGGTCTCTATATCTTTATTTTTTGTTTGCTTTTTATAATATATTTTTTGCTATATTATATTGGCAGGACGAACGGCTAATAAAGAATAGAGGCATTGAGCCCCCCACAATATAAAAATTGTATTTCTGATAGTAGGAATAATAGTAATAATAATAATACGTGATATATATTATACATATATTAATTAGTAAAACGTTTTATTCGTCATTATTTTTATTTTTAAAAAATTATGTATCTTATATTATTTAAGATCATACTATATATGCAACTGTTTTGTGTGAGTGTTCTTTTTCTTTATAAACTCTTTTTTTTCCATTTTTGGTTCTCTCATCTTTTTTGAAGATAGAAATATTTATTTATTTGTTTAACAACAAAGCTTCCTTCAAAACTTTTTGTAATAATGTAACCATTTTCTTATTAACATTCCGTTGACTTCCGTAGAATCTAATAATTCTTCCATTGGAACTGGAATAGAAAATCCTTGATCATTTAATATTGCTAATTCATTTAAATCATTGAAACCAAAATGATAATTTAATAATACATTTAATGCAAAGGAAAGTAAAATCTTGTAGTTAACAATAACTTTCTTACTACGATATGTTTCCCAATCTTTACCTTCATAATCTTGATTTTTAATTGGATAATTCTTAAAACTTTGAGCATTTGATACAACAATTGTATCCATTGTCCACATAAATAATTCATGATCAACTCTTTCTAGAATATTCCACCAAGTTGTTGAATTTAAACAAGAAGAATTAAATTCGTATTTAAAATCATCTGTCTTTAATAAGTAATTAGCAACAACACCACGAGATTGAAGAATCTTTGTATCATATTTATTTTTACAAAGATCACTGAAACATGTCATTTGAAGTAAATTAACCATTTCCCATACTTCTTTTGGAGAACTAAATGAACGATCAATTAAAAAATGATGGAATAATAATGCATCACCTGGAATTAATCCTTGAGAAGATACAGCTCTTAATTTCAACATTAACATTAAGTTCTTGGAAACTTCCTGAGTCATTTGTCCACATCTTTTATTCAATATATCATTTTTAATTAATTGTTCTATCTCAATCTCTTTACCCTTTGGGAAATCCATCTTGCTTAAAAGTTTAGATAATTCATCAAAGGATTCCATATAATGTTTAGAGATAATTCTATCTTTGCTTTGTAATACTTCATCATATATTTGACGTCTGCTCTCGGTAGAGAAAGAGGTCTCCCAAACGATTTTCTTAAGACTGGTTAAGGAGGAATTTCTTGTAATGTCACGATCCAATAACAATATTAACTTAGCTCTATTTGTTTCATCATTAATTTTACGTTCGTCTCTATTTTTGTTCTTGTCTAATTGCTCAATGGATGCCATACTTATACTTTTAGAAATCTCATATTCATGCAATTTCTTCTCTTGTGGATCCTTTGGAGGTAACCAGCTAGGTCTTGAACTACTTACAGCTTCTAATTTATCCTCAGATACCAATAGTAAGGATTCCATACCTTGTTCACTGGCTGCTTTCAGATCAAGTGGTAAAAAGTCAGCAGATTGTGTTCTTTGAGATAATTTCGATTTTGATAATCTATTTTGAGATTGGATGTAAACTGACGATAAATTCTTGGTAGTCTCTTGAATATATTGTAAATCAGACACTCTGTTGATACCGGGAATTGGAGAAGTAGGCATATCGTGGAAATCAAGAACTGGCATACTAATAGCAGCCTTTCTTGAGTTTGTAAATCTATGATTGTGGCCTAGTTGTTTAATATTGTTTGTAGGCGCAGATTTGGATGAATTGTGGTGGAGTGCCGGAGCGTTCGCCATTGGCCCGTTATTGTTGTTGTTGTTGTTGCTGTTGCTGCTTGTGGTAGAAGTGTTACTAGAAGCGCTGCTTTTTAAATCAACAGTTTGTTTATTGGCTAATGATCTGTGTTTCCCAGTGTGATGTTTTCCTGAGGAGGTATTTAAGAATGAGCTGGTAGAGAATGAAGCCATTGGGATATTCCATATTAATGAATCATCAATATCACCTTCTTGTAATTCAAGAATACCATTTTGTTCGTCATAAAATTTTTCTTTCTCCTTGATTGTATTTCTAATTGATGTTTCGTTTTGCTCTTTTCTTAATCTATAACGTTGGGAAGCTGTTAATGGAGTTTTATTCGCCAAAATAGCTGTTGTACTGTTTGAGTGACCATATAGGGAAGGTTTATAGAATCCGCTGGCATTGTTACTACTCGAATGGTTACTGTTTGGAAGATTTGTAGTTGTGTAATTTCTGTTGTTAGGAATATGTTTAAAGTTTGGAGTACTACCATTTGTAGAATTGAATTTATTATTTTTGTTACCATTATTACTGTATAGATAACGTTGGCTACTCTGTGATGCAGGTGTGTTGATGCTTTCCAAGACAGCATGTGTATTTATAGGTGTCTGTTGATCAAAATGCTGTTGTGATTGTTGTTGTGTCCCCTCGGTACTATTCAATATTAATGTAGAATTTCCTTCGGATATTATACTTTCCTCCATTAGACTACTTGTATTATTTGTACTATTTAATTTCAAATGATTTGAAGTATTATCAATATCACTATCATTTTCTATTGAAGAATTTCTTGAATGTAAATCGGATGAAGGTGATGAAAATAATTCTGATGCTTTTGTAGAAATTGAATCATTAGATATTGGACGATCATTTTTAACTGTAAAATGTTTCTTTGGAGGCGGTATCATTACCTCATCGTCAGCATTATATTGTTTTTGATCTTCATTTTCATTTTCATCCTTTTCAGGTATATTATTATCATTTTGTTTCATTAAATTACTAGTATTACTATTTCTTCCTTTTGATTTATTGGAAAGAGTATTAGGAGGAGACGATGATGGAGGTAAATTATTTGAATTATTATTATATTTTAATAGTAAATTATCACTTGGTCTTCTCGCTATACCAAGTCCTACCATTTTATTACTATTAGTTGAAGAAGTATTTGATCCAACACTTTTTGTCCTAGTTTTCGTTACTAGGTTAGGATCATTATAATTTGTGCCATTATTACTGTTTCTATTAACTTTTAAATTGAAATTTTTCATTGGCACAGAATTATCTCCATGTGCTGCAGCGGTGTGGACAGACATCTTGAATCAAAAAATAAAAAAAAATGTTGAATTATAGTACAGTGTATAAGAAATCAAACGAGGTGATTCTTACAATAACGGTCGAGATTTTAAATTTAAAAATTAAAACGATTGCGGAATTTTTCTTTGAAGAGAGATGCTTACCTAATCTATTTCCTGATATTCTATATTATTTTCGTTGTAGAGTATATATATACAAATATAAATTTTTCGTTTTTTACTCTCTTTCCTGAATTGTTATATTTAGTTAATTTTTTTGTTGTTTTTTTTCTTCTTCTTAAAAAACTGCACACGCCTTTTGCTTGCTCGCTCGATACGGAAGGGATGAATAAATTAGAAATAATGTTTATTCCTTTTGGATTCCTTGCCTTGACAGGATAAGAAGTGAGATCACTTAATGTTAACAAAAAAAGGGGATTAAATAACAAAATTATTTAATTTCTTTATGATGAAAAAAGTTGAATTTGATAATCAATCAATTCAAAAAAAAAAAATTAATGACAGATTAGAAGTCTTGAAATAATACTGTTAGAAATAGTAGTGGAGTTAGTGTGAAGCAGATGCACACGATGACAACGAACGAAATAAAATATTAAAAAATGTTTAGTTTCTTTATTTATATATATATATATATATATATATAATGCTTGTTTAGAGGATAATGTAAATTACCGAAATGGCCTACGGATAGATCGTAAACTGCAAGAGAATTGAGTATCATATCGGATTAATTTAAAAGAGAAATAGACGTTTCAGTCTTTCACTGTTTTACTAAACAAGTGAACTATATTATACTACAATTGTTGATATACAGAAGAAGGGTCATTGTCGTTAAAAGAAAAAAAGAACCTTCATGTTTTCCAGACATATAGGATATCTGGGGAAACTGTCTTTTTTGTAACCGACCTTCGCAATTCTTTTGCGCATTTCAACAATCAATCAAATCGAAACAATATAGATAATTGTAGAAATTGATTTGTATTATTGTTATTGCGTCGTCTTTGTCATTATTAGTAAAAATGAAAAGAGATCAAAGAACGCGTTTCCGTTTTGGAAAAGATGCATATTAAAATGACGGAAATAACGAGAAAGAGAGCGAAAAATAAAAATTGAGTTGGCTGGGTTTTCCCACACGTCGCTTTGTTAAAATTTGTGGGTACGGCATGTTTTCTGGATCAAGAAATATAATTTAAATATTTTTGTACGCTTTCTCTTCCAATATTTTGTCCGGGATTAGTTTGTTTTTTTTCAATTTTCACTAGGCGTGGCGGGTTTTTTAACTCTTTTTTCCATTTAATTTAATTTCTTTGGTGAGCGCGTTGCCGTCTTCAGTGACATGTAAAATTGACAAAATGAATGAAAAGAAAAGCATCCGCGGGAACAGTAGCAAAAATCAAGATTCGTAACGCGCACGAAATGGTGAGAAAAGAGGGTCAAATTAAAACAATAAACCACAGCAATTGTCTCTTTATCGTTTCACTTGACGCGCGCTAAATGAATATTATGAAATTGAAAACTCTTGGCCATGAAAGCGACGTAGAGATATTTAATCTTATTGATTAAAAAGGTGATTCCAGATTCATGTATAAGGTTTGTAAACAGACTCAATTTGGAGGCAGGAGGTATGCTTTTTATACAAATAATTTGCTTTGAGTTTTTATGGAGGCTAGCCATTTAAGTCGCACCAATGATTGCTGTCAGTGTTTTATCTGTTTTTGAAAGTTAATCGGTGAAAATGTAATTGTGTTACTCTTATTCTATTTATATTCTTTAGAAGAGAATGAAGAAAAAATTTATTTATATATCTAAATATCTATCTATGCATGTGCTTTTTATGATTTTTTTAATGTATTTATGTAACGATACTATTTTCATCTAGTACTAAAGGAGAAGGTGTACCAGCTATTGCTGATGTAGTTGTAGCCGCTGTGGAGGCAATTATCGACCCGCCAGTTGTACTTGATGCTCTGTTTCTTGAGGGACTTGCATTCACCCCTGGATTTAGACTAACATCATTACTATCTGTATTGTTGTTGTTGTTGTTTCCGTTTCTATTTAAAGTGGTAGGTTGTATAGATGGAAAATCATTAGGATTTTGTAACATCTTCTTCAAAGTATTTTCAAGTACAGGAAGACTATTTTCAAACATTCCAAGTAAATTTTCTAATTCTTGTAATACTTGTGGTCTTCTATCGATACGTCTTCTTTCATGATCGCCAATTCGTTCACCATTATTTAGTGTAAATGAAGTATCATGAAACATACTCATATCTAACATAGCAGGAGGTTCTTTCATTAAATTAGAATTATCGTTATTAGTTGATGTAACCATTGAACTTGTTACTGAATCAGTTAATATATTATCATCATTATGCATATCAGCATTTGATCCCAAAAGTTCGATCTTACTATTTTTATTTTGATCATGTATATCAATATCGATATAATTGTTCAAGGAAGTGTGATCTATCTTTGAATTAGAACCTTCTACGCTATTTTCAGTATTTGTTAAATGTATTTCTTGAATATTATTCTCAGATGTATGTTGGCTTGTATTACCACTATTATTTACATTTGATTCACCAGATGATAAAGAATTCTTACGATTAGATATACTTAAACTTCTCTTTATCTTACTCCCAAAATCTATATGTTTCTCGCTGATAGGAGTCATGGAGACAGGAATATTAGCTGTAGTCTTGGTGTTGAACCCAAATTGATTGATATTTTCACTTGGTGCAGAGATTGGACCATTTGAAATATTATTAGAAGTTAGTTTGGAAGTGCTTGAACCATTATTCGTTGAATGGTTGTCTAATAATTTATTACGAGTCATCGTGGTAGGTAAAGGCATCTGTAATTTTAAATTAAAATTGTTTCTCTTCGAATTGGTACCATTTCTTGTATTAACTGTAGTTTCATTACTTACTGGTTGAATTTCATTTTCATCTGTAGTATCATGTAAAGTCACTGCAGCTGTACTAACAGAACTTACATTGGCGTTAATAGTAGTACCTGTGGTACTACTTCCCATAGTAGAAGTACTGTTGAGTGTACTACTAGTATTTGACATATTGGTATCTAATGGATGTAATTTAGCATTTTTTGAATCGATCTTCGTACTGAGTGGTTTCATTGTAGGTGGATTACCTAAATTACTACTACCATGACTGATGATACCTTGTGAACTTGTAGATGGTGATACAGTAGGTTTACGATTAGGAGATATTGATCCCGAATGCAATAATTTCGAGGGTGATGGGGTATTATGAACATTTTTAAATATTGTAGAACTTGGTGCATTAGTCATTGTGTGCTCCCTTGATTCACTTATGTTTCCGTTGTTAACATTATTGCTATTATTATTTGTTGTTGTCTTTGAAAAAGTACTAGAATGACTAGACTTCTTTATTTCATCCTCAATGGTAGTCGAAGGAGGTGGTGCTAAATTAGGGTAAGATGGTGAGGTGATTCCATTCGCTTCTTCACCACGGCTTGGGTTGTTATTACCACTTACAGTTAATCGTCTGGATAGACCCGGTGGTTGCTTATATGGCATTGGTGATGTAGATAATGTTGACGATCTAGGTTTTGTGTGTAATGACGAAGCATCAACAAATGCACTTGTTGGTTGACTAGTACTTGTAGGTAATTCTTCTGGAATTTCAATCTCAATGGAGGTCGGTATTGATGTTATTGCACTTGTAGGGCCCTTAGACATACTGTTAAATTTCGTTTGTAAAACTGGTAAAGATGTAGTACTTTGACTGAAAAATGATCCATTATTCAGGACATTTACAGGACGGATATTATTATCTGCAGTAGGTGTCATCGATTGTTCAAGAAGAGATCCCATATGTGTGGTCGACATATTTTGTGGTATACGTCCCAGATCGTTCCCAACATCTTCATCAGCCTCGTTGATAGTATCATTTTCTTCAAATAGTTCCAATAATTGTTTCGGAGCGTTTGAGTCAACATTCATGTTCGAATGAGTGCCTGTTCCTGTATTATTACTGTTTATATGCGAACCGGTCCCATGAAATGCTGTGCTGTTTATATTGGCGGTACCATTCTGATGTGAAGGCATCGCACTTAATGTAGAATTGTAATACACAGTACTCAAAGCAGCTTTCCCTATAGTTGTGCCATGATAAAAAGTTTTGTTAGCATTATTATTGGTTTGGTAATACATATACTGGTCCTCGTCAGGGTAAGCGTAGTTTAAGTTATCGTGTTGTTCATTCATCCAGTAGTTGGTATCATTCGTTATATTATCTATATTGATGTTATTTTCCACAATGTAGTCAGCTGAACTTAAAGAATCGAAATCCCATTTAACATCTATATCTTCTTCAGAGTTGTCATCGTTGATTCCATTCGTTATCGATTTACGATCACCCTCTATGCGATTATCAATTTTGTTATCATTACCATCCACATTTGGGTTCAAACTATCCCGCTTAGTCTTATCCCTAAACAGTAGATATCTTGTTATAAGTTCCTTCAGTACAGAAGTAGGAGATGTCTTATGAGTTCGTATAAATTTACTCTTAAGTAGATCATCTGCAGTAGGACGTTCATTTGCATCTTCATCCAGACATAAAGCTATGAATTCTTTTAAGGAAGCACTATAACTCTTACCTTCTAATCTTGGTGGTTTCGATTTGGTAATTAATTGCATTACTCTCAACGCTTCCACCTCACAATAAGGTGGGTTACCTGTTGCAACTTCATATGCAGTAATCCCTAAGGACCATATATCAGCTTTAGTGTCATAATAAACACCTTCCATTATAACTTCGGGCGCCATCCAATACGGTGTACCTGCCATCGTTTGTCTTCTATTACTAACTTGATTTAATTGTGCGGCCACACCAAAATCACATAGTTTCACGGAACCATCATTTGATATTAAGACATTGGCGGCTTTTATGTCTCTATGAATAATATTATCTTTATGAATAAAACTTAATGCAATCAATAATTCTCTCATTATTACTCCTAAATATTTTTCCTCTATCTTTCCTGGTCTCAAAAGAGAACGAAGTGATCCACCGGCACAGTATTCCATAATGATCCATAAGCTTGTATTTTGTAAATAAGATCCATAATATCGTGTAATGTTTGGCATTTGTTTTAATGATGCAAGGAATTGAATCTCTCTTTGGACATCTTCAACCTCATCGGAATCAGAATCTAAATTCAATACTTTGATAGCATATATCTGTTTGGTTTTAATATTATAACCTTTATAAACAATACCAAATTTTCCTCTACCTACTACTTCCGTTCTTCTAAATATTGCATCAACATCTTTATCAGATTTTACGGCTTTTGTCTTTGATATCGTACTGATAGATGCAGAAGGTGACCTGAGTGTAACAGGATTTGCGTTATGCATAGAATTTGTATTTATCGTGGCTTTCTTCATAGGCAAATATGTTATTATTTGTTTCTTATCTAATAAGTGGTTATGAATTAATTATTATAAAATGTGTGACAGATCAAAAAGAAATTATTAAAAAACAAAAAAAAATGGAATCAGGGTTTGGTTTTAATCTTAATTCCCCACTATTGTTATTACTGAATGTAAAAAATGAGTTCACCCCTTTTATATACTTGTTTATAATCTTATCCGTTATTTAATAACTCAGGTATTTCTTGTGTTCCTGTTGTTATGTTGTGTTATTATTTCTTGTTTACTGTTTTTCAAAGGCAGATGATTCCTTAGTTAAAAATAAAAAAGTAGATATCACGGTGAAGTTTGTCGATTAAAAGCACTGAGATTATTTCTGAAAAACTAGTTGGTAAATAAACTAAACTAAACTTCCGTTAAAGTCACTTTAACACCTCAGATATGTTTCTTAGTTTCAAAATTCCGATTTCTTAAATTACTATTTAGCTCACTGTTTAGTTTTTTTTTTCAATAATTATTATTACATTTGTTTTCTCTTTACTCCATTCATTGAAAGTTGAAGGGCGGCGCCTGTTTGGGGCGGCTTTTCCATCACTTAAAAAGGAAAAAGAGAGCCATCGATTCTGTCAAGAATCGTGCACCGTGATGTTACTTACAATGTTAAATTATACAGTAAATTAAATAAAGTTGATACAGATTAACAGCCCCTGTTGTCTTTTCATGGGGTAGCTTCAATTTTCCATTTAGGTAAAACTATTAAGACTTAATGAAATTATATTTTAATTCAGTATTTTATGTGGCTTGTAACGGTATCAAGAGGGGATTCGGAGCAGAAAGCACTGCTTGTACATAAAGAAATTTCATCGAAGTTATACCATATACGTATTTTACAGGAATATCTTTGAATATTTTTATATTTATCTCTTTGATTAAAGAATTGTATAGTATTATGCTGCTGAAACTTTCCCTCGGTTCATTAGAAACGTAGTTATGGAAAGGAAAGTAAGAAAAAAAATGAATTGATCCTTGAGTTCGAGTAATTGATAAAAATCTTAACAGCTAAAATAACCCAAAAAGCGATTGCCACAGTAACGCAAAGATCTAGGAATAATCGATAGTATTACTTCGAAAGAGATCACCTCCTTACTACTACAACGACAAAGAAATTTTTACCTTAATGTTGTTTGTAAGCCTACTTTCAATTATATTACTTCTGTTTCCAATTACGGCGAGGGCAAACGAGGGTTTAGTGGCCCAGAAGAGTGTTCCTGTCCTTCTTTTTTCACATAGAGTCTCTCCTGGGTTGTTGAAATATCAAAAGAACTACGATCCTAAATCGATAGTTCCTGTGGAGTCCTTTAAAATTATATCTCAAGAATTAATAAACCATTGTAATTCTGATGCGTATATTTATGTGAATATTCCAGGTTTACGAAAATTAGATCTTGTAGAATATGAAGACGAATTGGTATTTCTTCAAAGATATGTAAATCAAAGTTCAACTAAATTGAAGTTTGAACAAGTGAAAACTTTGCCACAAGATTATTACTCAGACCTCATTGAGTACACAAAAGAAACTTGTAAATTTGAAGGTCATATTAAGTTAGAAGGTAACAACAGTGATGACTTTACGACCTATCTGGATTCTGGTAAACGTATAATAGAGATTAATTATACACCTCTCCCAGGTGATGAGACGGCACGTCTTCAAAGCGTTATTGATTTTGATGGATATCTAAGAGAAATTCTGGCCCAGTTACCATCACCTGACCAAACTGTTATATTAACCTCTTTACAACCAAGTCTAGTGCCAGAGAGAGATTATAAACCAATGTCAATATTCCCTAAACTATTTGAGAATTTGAAGGAAGTTGAAATGAATAATATGATTTTAGATGTGGCTCCCTTAACTAATAAATATTCTCCAAAATTTACTGGAATGGAGGATGTACCACTGAATATATTTGATGTAGAGTTCTATAAGGAAAACAAAAGTTTTATCTTAAGTATTGTTATTGTACTCATTACTTTTGAAATAGTAAGTGTTTTCCAGCAAGTTAGTAAATCAAAAAATGCCCCACAGAATTCCAAACCAAAGAAAGATATAAAGATAAAAAAGAAACAAGAAGTAGCTGAAATAACTTCATTAAAAGCCAAAAAAGATAATAGAACAGTTTTAACCAAAGTTAATAAAAGTAAGGAAACTTCGAAAGAGAAGTAAACATGTCTATCCCTTTAATTGATTATAAATATTCTTTAAGACACATAATTACTGAGTTTTTTATTTTAATTGAAGTATATGATATTTAGTATATTTTTGATAGAATTGCCTTTTAGAGGATAACAAGAACACAGTTGGTATGATATCTGAATGACCCCCCCCCCAGATGAATACTTTCAAACCTCACCTTCTCGACATTTCGAAGAATCTTTGGGGGCTAAAATCTATAATGGAAGTGATTGTATGTATTGTTTTTTCATGGTATTGATTGTGTGTTAGTTTACGTAGAACATGTATGCTTTATAAGAAAGAATGAATTTACGTCAGATTACGTTTCAATATTTGTTTACATTTTGTACCAAATAATTAACTTTCCCGATTGACTCAAAACATAAAAATTTATATTTTTTTGGGGATTTTCTAAATTTTTCTCTTTTTGTTTATCAAAAGATGACTTTTCAAGCTTTATACACTAATTTAAATCGAATTCTTACAAAATATTTCACTTCTAATATTTTCGTTTTAAGAAACTCAATTGTTATTTAAGAACTTAAGCCATTAGGCTTGTGATAATTTCCGGCTTCATTATTAATATTAATATCACGTTAAGGTATATTATTCTAAAATTAACCCATTTGTTAGGATATGGGTTGTCCAGTCACTATAAGGAGCCTTATATGCAGATTAAGCATTACTTAAAAGATCTTGTACAGCCTTTCCAACTTTCTGTAAGATTCGCTATATTAGAGCGAAAAATTAATGAGATATATGTTGATATGACTCTCACGCTTATAGGACACTATCAAGAGGGACAACAAAGAGTAAAATAATAATTCAATGAATCTCAGTGGTACACTAAACGCATTCAGGATACTTTATAATCCGTCTCTTTGCAAACCAGGTCTGATCATAGATACTTTTAATCACTTACCGGTCCCAATTAACAAACATATAAAAGCTGTTGTGGTGGATAAGGACAACTGCTTTGCATTCCCAAAAGAAAATAAAGTATGGTGTGAATATGAGAATAAGTGGGAGTTACTAAAAAAATCATATCCTGGGAGGGCCTTACTTATTGTTAGCAATAGTGCTGGTTCAAATGAAGATTTAGACAATAAACAGGCCAAGTTCATAGAAGATAGTTTGGGCGTGTATGTGCTAAGGCATTCAACCAAAAAACCAGGTTGCCATGATGATATTGTTGAATATTTCAGTCATCATAATATCATCCAGGACCCAAGTGAAATAGCCGTTGTAGGCGATAGGTTATTTACAGATATAATGATGGCAAATATAATGAATTCATATGGGGTCTGGGTTAAAGATGGTGTAGTGAAATCAAATAATATTCTCAGTAGGCTTGAGAAACTAATATTTAGTCCAAAAGAATAAACTGACTAACCCTTACAATAAGGTATCATGTAGATAACACATTTTCAATTCATATTTAAGTGGTAATTTTTAATCTAAAGTATAAATAATGTGTAATATTAATATATTTATTTAATAGATTAAGTTAAATTCAATAATTGTGGTTATTCAGAAATACATTCAAAAAATATGGTTACGGTCGAGTTAAAATAGAATCTGTGATATATAATTACCCCACGTTAGAGTAGATGACAGAACTTGATGGATTGCCATCTACGACGAGAATAGAAAGCCGATGAACGCAAGAAAGGTAGATATGTATAAAATAGGACGACGTCCAAGTTATATCTATAGAAGAGTTACCGTTGTTAACTTCCATTGTAGATACAGAAAAGTTAAGTAAGATTAGGTTAACTTTATATAAACAACATATTTTATCCATAACATAGAGTTCTTTATATCAGCGAACTAAAAAAAAATGCTCTTGGGGAGGTTCGAACTCTCGACCTTCAGATTATGAGACTGACGCTCTTCCGACTGAGCTACAAAAGCACAAAATTTTAAAAAAAATTCTAAATATTTTGTAATATGATGAGATTAAAAATTCATTTTTGATTGAACTTCTTCTTATATGCAGATTTGGAGTGCACTCACTGCTCGTAATAACCAATAACTGGGACTACTTATTAAAAACATAATAACATATACCCACACATCCTAAATTAATGAGCAAATGTGTCAGAAACTAAGGGTTATGAAAAATGAAATTTTAAAGTTGTAAAAATTTGTTCTCTGAAAGAAGTTCTCTGTTGTTTATGTTATAATAATACATTACACGTTGTCGGAATTTGCATGATAGAAGAATGACGTCAAGAATATAAAATATAAGAATAAAAGAATAATAAAGATTGTCAGATTTGATAATGTTCAATATTTAACAATCCAAAATGAGAAAAGATAATAATAAGACGCATTT